CCTCTTCTCACACACTTTAAAGGCATCTCTCTATCACTTACAGTAACCAACACAGGGTAAAAGTTGAACAAGTAGTTGTCACCATAGTGCTTAGGGACCAAGGACAAGAAAATCTGCACATGTTCAGTTCAGACACACTTCTCCTAAACTTTAGAGCCACAGTTGAATCCATTAATAGAACATTGCATACAAGGAGACAACTGTTAATCCCACTGTGTAAGCATCTATGATTTTCCTAGATTCTTCTGATCTTCCATTTTTTAAACCCTCTTTGAATTTATACCAGCACACTCTTTGCCCATGCCCTAAAGAGCTGGTCCTGGTTATGAGCTCCCAGGGTCCGGTGTAAGCATCAGTACTTGCTCTCCCTCTCTTTCCATGGCCACCCTCTACTTCCCTCCCTGGACGATTCTGAGAGGCCTCCCTATACTTTCTCCCTCTCTTACCTCCTTGCTGGTCACCGAACATTTCTTTTGCTCTTTGTTTTCATTTGTTAACTTGAAACATACACTCTTTCTTTTGACCAAAACTTCTAACATTTTAAACCAAATATCAGAGAAGTTACCAAAAAAAAAAAAAAAAAGCCCTTCATTTACTTATACACCTTAAGTAACAAATCACAAGGGCAGCATATTATTTTAAATGACTTTCTCACCCTCTCTCTGGAAACTGTTCTCCTCATAGACAATGATAGCCATACCTCAAAACCGCAGCCACGAACGCTCTCCTTTTTGCTGATTTGCACACAATAAAAATGCCAGGTGGTACCAAAAAATTTACCCCTTCCCAAAGAAAACACCCATCATTTAAAAAAGGGATGTTGTCAAGAATAGCTGTTTTATTTAACAGCTATTCATCTTTATTGAATAAACATTTTCTGGTATGCATTCTGTTAATTGACCTGCCAGCATATGCTGTATATGGAGAAACTTCTAAACATTATGTTCTATGTAATATGCTTATCTGAAAAAGCTCTCATTTGCAGCAATATGGAAATAAAATCCTGCTTTAAAAAATTCAAGACTTTTCAAATTCATTAATCCACACAGTTTATAAAATTGCTCTGGACATTTTAAAATCCTTCCTTTAAGGAGGGAGAGAGAAAAAACATTAACAATCAATAATAGTATCTGTTGCTGCATTTCATAATGGAGTCAACACAGAGCCCAGAGACACAGAAATGGGGGCAGGCATAATAGGAAGTAAAAAGCAGTCATGGTATAGGGTAAAGAACTACTCAAGGCCTGCAAGAGAATGCTCAGAAATGCTATCAAATTACATTATTAGAAAACCATTGTAATAATTCCAGAGCCTGGATATAAATAGAGCTGAAACATTATCGAGACAATATGCTTTGTTTTGAGGAGGGAAGACAAGGCACTCGTGTGGGCGGGCTCCTCCAACTAATGGCCGCACCTCTCCTTGGCTGATAACTTCTGAAGGATGATGCATCTCCCAGACCAGCATCCCCAGCTGCTCTGCCTAGAGGGCAGGGGCAGTACTCTGCTGGGTGGAACCATGGTGAACCACAAGGCTACAGGGCTCCCTGTTTTCAGCAGCGATTCATCTCTCAACAGTTGCTGCCCTTGTGGGACGGTCGCCCAAGGTTGCCAGACGTCCTGATTTTTCAAGAGAGGATAGGAAAGCAAAGACCTCCCATTTCTTCAGGCTGTCAACTAGATAATTTTTTAAAACAAATGCTGTTTGAGCCTCAACTTAGGCAACCCATGGAATCACTATGGTAGTGGTTCTTTGTGAGCACCGAAGCTTCTGAAAAGAGCACTTGCTGTCATTTGTAGGCATGAGTGGCAAGAAGGAGCCCAACACAGAGCTCACTCAGCACCCCCCCACACACACACAACCCCCTCACACACACACTCACCACCCCCAACCCCGCTGAATAACACCAAAGGCTCTGGTGCCATAGAATATTCCGAACCATTCCGTGTAACTCACAGCGTAATTAACTCATTTTTACGCCAGGCAGCTTGAAGCCAGATCTGTGTGTTCCGTGGACTTGTGACATATTTTACAGTTCTCTCTCTTCCACTGTCCTACATTAATCAAAGCTGTAACCCCTGTTGTCTTTGTACTATGGAATCAGAATGTGCCCCTGGCGAGGGATGGGGGAAAAGTCAACAGGAATTAAATTTCAGTGCAACTGTTTACTCAACTGTGGCCTGCAGATATTGAAATTTTATCCGTGGTTTTGTGTGACTACCGCAGTAATGAATTCAGCATGGCTGCGATTTTCTCAGCGCTTGCATTCTCACTTCGAGTAAAGACCTGCAGGAGAAAAATGACGAAAACCACGCAGATCCACCAGTGCAACAATTCCTCTGCACAGCTGAATTGCTGCTGCTTTCTGGACGCCAGAGAACTTGGGGCGCTTTGGGCCCCTGGACCGTTTGTGAGCCTGTAGTTTCTCTTCTGTCACCTACACTACTTCCCCCACCAACCTGCTTAGAGACTTCTCTTACACGGGGAGCCAAAGCAGCTGTGGATGTTTTAAAATAAGGCCTAAAAAGGCTTGCCAACCACAATAAGTGGGGCTTTAGCCACAATCCTAGACCCGACGGATGCCTTTCTTCCTCAAACATATCAGTGACAAATAGACAGAAAATTGCCGTGAAATATTTATTTTCAAGTTTCAAAGTGGAATCAAAAACCAAGTACTTGAAAACTGCATGAACGACCATTTAACAACACATTCTCCAGAAGGGCTCCAGCCCAGGTGACTGACTAGTGACTCACTATTTTTAAATAAATGCAACGGAAATATGCTTCCAGAACATTCTTCTGTGTCACTCAGGTGGCACTGCTGCTACTGTGCTGTAGCAGGGTGGCTGTGTGTAGTAAGTGTGTTAAACATGTACATTTTCACGGTTGGCTTTTTTTCTTTTGTTTTTTGCTTAAACATTTCTTTCATTATTATTACATTTGTGTGTAAGAGAGCGAGGGAGGACTTTGAAGGCTTGTTCTTCTCTGGCCATGTGGGTGCTGGGAAGCAAACTCAGGTCCTGAAACTTGGTGGCAAGCATGTTTTTAACCTGCTGGCTCCTTGGTAAAATACTTTAATATTCTGAATATTTGTCTGTCCTTCAGGTAAAATTCAAGCAAAGTTAATCTCCCACTGACTAAACTAATGTACTCTAAGTACAAATGATTCAGGTTGTCCATTGCATCAGCTCCCATCTCAACTATGTCATGAATGACTGATCTTACCTCGGTCTTGTCGTGGCACAGAAGATGGTATTCCGGAAATACTAACCACTCATCTCACCCCACACAGATGAGGATACCACAGAATGACCATCCCTGCAAATGCTCTCCTGCCATTTACTGTCGGGTTTGGCAAACAAGCTCCCCAGTTAGAAGTCAGCCACTGTGTAGTAACTGATGCACAGAATTAATACAACCCAGGTGGCCTAAATTCTAGCTTTGAGGGTGCCTATTCTGGGGGCAGAAATAGTTGCAGTGTCAAGAAAAGAAATCATGTCACACCCCCAAATCCCCTGAACTGACTTGGCTTGTCTGCCAACTTCCCTTTTTCTTTCCAGGACTTTCCCCAAACTGACACCATGGTCTCATGCTGCACCCACCAATATCTAACGGGTTCACAGTCCACTAACTGTTTATATTTTTATTGATTGATTGATTGATTTCTTTGAGACAGGGTTTCTCTGTGTAACATTCCTAACTGCACTGGAACTAGTTCTTGCAGACTAGGCTGGCCTCAAACTCACCTGCCTCTGCTTCCCAAGTGCTGGGATTGAAGGTGTGCACTATCACTGCCTGGCTGGTTACATTTTAATGCATGTCTGCAATTCAACTATTCCGGAGTTTATGGCCAATTTGAGCTACAGGGCAATTTCAAAGCCAGAGGCCTCAGCTAAGTGAGAACCTGTCTCAGAAAGAAAGGACAACTAAGACTCTTACCAGGGCTCCAGCCCTAAGAATTTGATTCCAATTTTAAAAAAGTAGTTTGAAAGGTCTGTCCTTTTCTCTTATGGCATTTCCCAACAATTCTCTATGTAAAAGTTACAAAATTTCCCCAAGATGTTTCATTCTTTTTTTTTTTTTCTCTTAAATACCTGATTGCAAATGGTACCATAGCTACGAGATAAATGGATCAAGGACAAAACCTGCCCTGTTATCAGTAGCAAAAACTCATAATATTTCCTGATCCCACAGGTGGGAAACCCAATCCAGTCTTCAAGGAAATGCTATTTACATTTGAATTTCTACCAACACAATACCATGTCTTAGGTCACCTGTACCACCGGGAAATATTTCAGTAGTTATTCCCAAGGACCTGCTTCCACCCTGGGAAGGGTAGGGAAGGAATGAGAATGTCTCAAGCAAGGGGCATGTTGAAGGGGCCCAGACAGGAGATCAGTTAAAACATCACTGAGATTTTAGCCAACACCATCCTCTGTCAGACTTCAAGAAAGATCCACAAACACACACACCCTAGTTCCTAGAGGTAGGAGGAACGCATGTCCCAAACTGATGTCCGTGTTATAGACATGGGCCTGTTATTTAAACATGTTTACCTATATTTCTATTTGTCTCTACTTTCTTTGACTACCCCCCATATCTTTATTTCTTTCATCTTTTAGCTCTGATTTTATTTCTTCATAAGGTTCTGAAAAGGCTGGGGGGTGGTGAGCCTGTTTTTATTTTATTTAACTACTGTTATACCGGTCAACTATTTATCTCAAACATCAACAACCATTTTTCCCCCCAGAGAGTCATTTAATTGAATAATAAAAGCTTAAATGACACGTTGGGGGCTCAAGGTCCATTCAACTTTAAGTCTAATAGCCACTGTCCAGAAAGATGCTTGCAGCTCCCAAGGCTTTCAAAATTAATCTCAGCCAGGAGGACCCCTGAGACTATGCTGCTGCTTTCCGGCAGACGAATGCAGCAGACGGGTGTGCCTACAACATGGACAGTGGCTTTACTACCACTCACAACTCCAGCTCCCAGGAGAGTACCTGCTGTTGCTGCTGCTGGACGTGGGCAAGGTCAGCTGCGCCCAGGTCCACCGCTGGCGCCTCCCCGTTGGACCGAGTGTCACGAAGTGCCCCACACTCTAGCAAGTGGTTGCCACTGCTGGACCCGTTCTGGATGGCTGATCCGTTACTTTTTGTCTCAGACCCAGATTCTTGCATCATGACTCAAAAACCTGAGAGGAGGATTTTCAGAAAAAGGGGGGGTGGGAGGTAAAGGAGAGAGAGAAAAGGGGGAGAGTGGGGGAGGGAGAGACGGGGGAGAGACAGCTGTTAAAACAGTTGCTGGTCAGAACGAGAGGAGTTTTGCCTTACATGTTGCTGGACTCTCTAAACAGTTGTCGCTTTACTTCAGCCCTTTTCTCCCTTATTAGTAGACTTGCCCCCGACTTTAGGACTAGGGGCTGTCACTCTCAACTCAAGTTCTAGCATGGCTTAAACTATACATTCATTATTCCCTCACAAGAAAGATGACAGGTTCAGGCGATCCGAGGAGAATTTAGCAGTCAATTTCTCTGATGGGATTCAGATATTTCGCCAAAGAACAAAACACTGTAAGTCATCAAACACAAGTTACACATTGAAGCACTATCAGGTTCAGACACTCTGTGGCAATGCAACTCTGGCAGAGAAGAAATACGCTCCAACTTCAGTCTCTCAAGTGACAAGCCGCTTCACTACAAGGCCCCTTGAGGGAATCAATGCTGAAAACCTGCAGGCAAACAGCAAAAGCATTTTCAGGATTCTAAATCCTTGTACCAGTTTGTTGGCCATCCCTGTAAGACAGGCCACAGCTAGAAAGAGAGGGCCAGAAAGGGCTTTCCATTTTCAAACTGAATGGATTCCGACTATGACTGTTGTTTTACAGGTAAGGCTCCCGTGAGAATCACATTCATTGCTAATGTTTCTCCTGATGGATAATTGAAACTCGAAGGTGTATAAGGACTGATATTTCAGGGAAATCCTTGTACTCTTTACTTTGGAGAGACCTACGTAGACCACAAAAAAGGTCAGAATTTTAAAGTCCTAAATATGAGGCACAGATATAGCTCAGAGGTAGACCACTTGCCTAGCATATGTGGGATACTGGGTTCACACCTCAGCACCACCCAAAAGCAAACTAATTAAATAAAATACTAAAGTACTTAAATGTTTACTAGAAAAAAAATACATATAGTATAAATAATTAGAGAAAAATTTGCTGTCTCCTTTTAGTTTTTTTTTTTTTTTTAGGTTTTGGTTTTTGGTTTTGTTTGTTTGTTTTTTTTGGGGGGGGGAATAGGGTTTTATGATGGAGCTCAGGTTGTCCTTGAACTCAATTCTTCTGCCTCAGCCTCCCAGGTGCCAGCCTTACAGGCAAAGACAATGCCTGACACTAACTATAGTACTCATTCTTGTTACTCTCTTAGCACAAACCAGTAGCTTGGGGAGTGAGTTTAAGTACCCAGCCAGGACAAAACCTGTCTTCTACCCGCCTGTACTGCACTAGGCAATCCCCAATGCAGGTGACTCCTGTGTGTTCCCTAGGCTCCAGTAACAATTACCACTTCCACTTCATAGAGAAGAGATCTGAGGCTTGGGAATGGGACGACGGCTCAGTGGGTAAAAGCCCTTGCAACACATGTCTTAAGTCAGAATGGCCAGGGTCAGCATCTGAGAGTTGTCCTCTGACCTCTAAACATTCACAGTGACCTGCACCTATGCCCAGCCTCCAAAACAGGTAAATTCTAGAGAAAAAAAAATACAAGGCCTCGTGAGTTATTTTCATGTCCAGTGTGCCACAGCTAGCCGTGGTGGGCACTAGGGGAGAGACACTCTCCTTTGATGGCTGAGCTCTTACAGCAGCATGCTTTCTGAAGGCTGACATACAGGGTCACAAGCCAAGTTCACAGACCAGGGCTTGGAAAGGAAAACGATTAGTCACTGAAGGAAGGAGTCAGTTCAAACATCAAAGCTGAGAAATGCCTAAATACTTAAGACTTCGATGTGAATTCCCAATACCAGACAAAACAGAAAATATTTCATTCCAATTACCCGGAGGTACTAATACTACCTATTTCTTTTCCAGTACGCTAGATATATAACCACATCAAACCCAAAGCGTTCTGGACACCTTTAGGAGGCTGTGCTTTTGTTAAAAACTGACTAAAGCCTGTTCTCTGCAATTTGCCTGAGGATCGGACAGAGGAATGACCACTTGAACAATTCCTATCTCGTCCATTTTCAGTACATAGTCTCTAGCAGGTACAAGGCAGACGTCAGGAACCTAAGGCCATATTGTGTTAGTTAATCCGGTGCTGAAGGAGACGGAGAATGCCATTTTATGTTAGCGGGTGTGAAACTACAGGTGACAACGCTCATCTCTTTGGATCCGACTTTCTAGCAATTACTATCCTTTAGAAACTGCCTGTAGTTCCTTACCTCCCACTATGGAAAGAATCTATCAAAACAACTCCCGAGAAAACAAAACACCACCCCAAAACAGATATAAGACAGGCAACAAGAGACCAGGAACATGGAAACATCTCCTCTGACTTAAAACACCCAATGTGCTGAAGCCTCGGGGTTTTCCCTAAAGCTTTAGTTTATTTAGCTCTACCATCCCCTCACTCGTTCATATGCTTGGGCACTTAAAAGGAAAGGTTTCAGGCTGGATGTAGCTCAGCGCCACAGGAGGGGTCCCGAACACACCTTGGCTGTACTAAGTCAACCACCCATACTATAAAAGAACAAAGGAATAGAGAGATGTCTCAGGGTAGTCGGCACTAAATTCTCTTTTATTATCAGTTATGAAAAAATATACGTAAATAAAAAAAAGATGTTTCCCACCTTCTGGAAAGTCTCTCTATGCCAAAGAATGGACCCACAGGACAGGCAAATTGCTCTTAGAAGCACTCTACACCTACCCTCAGACAGAAGCACACACAGTTGCACGCCCTGTCCTTACGCAAGTACTGTCTTCAAGCCACATGACTCTGGGGATCTGGGACTGAGAGCGGGTGTCCAAAAGCCTGGCCGTGCTTTTGCTTCCTTGGCTGGCAGCATCATGGTAGGTAGGTGAAGTGAGGAAAGCGCCTCTGGCGCACAGTTTGAGGAGAAGCCCTTCCTTTGCTCTGTGCCCTCCAAAAAGGACTGTGAAGTCCTCCAGCACAAGCTGAGCAGGCCTGGAGCCAAGCAACTTGACTCATGATTTGGGTTTGTGAGGGTCTAGGTTTTGGGATCAACACCAAATAAAGGATTATTTTGGTCTAAGGATGTCCTGAGTTAGCGAATGCTAACTGGAGCACATGGGCTGGAGGGCTTCTCATTGGGGCAACACCCATCGGGGACAGACAGCTTCACAAAATGCCAATGTGGAAAATGTGGAGTTTTGGTATCTAAGAGTATTTCTGACACTGTCTGGGTCAAGAGTATTTCTATCAAACATCCAAGGCCATTTAATATGCTTTTATATCTTCATATAAAACCCTCTGGTACATTTCTCAAACTCCCCCGTCTTCATTTCTGAGACAAGAAAACTGACGCTCAGTTGACGGGGGGCAAATACAGCCATAGAGACTCTTCATTTCAGACATGAGCTCAAGAAATGACCAAGACTTCCTTCTCCAGACAGTCTTTGGCTAAGTATTCAATGAGCACATCAACCAGGAGAAACTAAATTCCAGCAAAGACAAGAGTGTGGCAGGTAGATGAAGGAAAGGTCTTAAACTACAGAGAGGGAACACACTGGAATGTTTCGGGAAATGACTGTCTTTTCCTATGGACTTCACACAGTGTCAGGGGAGAGCAATGCAGAGCCTGGAGGAGCAAGCTACTCTTCACCACGGGGCCCTGCACTCTGTTCTTCACTGGGGTTTTGTCCCAAGAACTTGATTTGCTTAACCTCTGCCCCTCCTCTCTGGGACACTGCCTGACCAAAGAATCACCTGCACCATAATGAACTGGATGCATGACCCCCTGTACAAGTGTCCATGGTGCTCGAAATTGAGGATCATGTATATGGAGGCTTCCGCCACCTTGTCCCCATCAATCTCTCCATTCTTAAGAACGGAGCTAAGCCTTTCCCCACTTCTCCCTTATACCTTCTGCACACGACCGGTACCTGCTTATAACAACTGATCCATACCCCACCACCCTACTAGGCTGACACTGCCATCCCATGGCTGTGAGATGCATAAAGAAGCCCAAACCCCCAAACCATGCACTCGCCACCTTCCTGGGAAATAGGACAGAGATACCAATTTCAAAGGCTCACTTTTTTATTTTTAGGGGACTTTTAAAAATAATAAGAACTGGGTCTCCCAGGCTTATTTACTGTTGTTGCCAACAGAGCTACTCAGTGGAAACCTTCTGGAAAATTCATAATGTCCAGGCCAATGTATTCATAGTAAATTAAAACACAGCTTTATTATTATGATTATTTCCTTGGTTACAGTGTTGATGCTGAAAATTTGGGGAAAATAAAGCCTTGTTATCATGCCTGTGAAAGATTTCAAGCTAACAAAAAGTTCAGTCTTGACTCTGGGGCGGTTAATTAAGGCTGACCAAGTCAGGCGGAAGTAAATTAACTTGGCTGATCAATTATTTATATGAAGCAGAATAAATGCCCTTAAAGAACTTGGTCTGTTCACAAAGGGATGTGTAAATTAAACCAAACAGAGTTTTGTAAAATATGTTTCTACCGCTATGGGGAGAAGTGAAGTTAAGGGTAATGCCACTTCCCGGACAACGAGCAGAGGAACTGAGGATCATTATCCCTCCCAAGGCTAAAGGGACAACCCTCTTCCTCACTGCACGTCCCTATGCAGAGAAGGACAGTGGGGACTGCATGCTGAAGAGACAAGGGCTAGGAGCAAGGGAGAGAGGGAGGGGCGGAGGGATGGAGGGACAGAGGGAGGGAAGAACCATGAATGTTAAGATTCCAGAAACAGTAAACACGTGTCTCTCACTCTCTCATCAGTTACTTAACAGTTTAGAGGCTGGCAAAGCAAAGTGGGGAGGGGGGGGGCGGGCGGGCTAGTTTTGTTTCTGAACTTTTAAATTACTCATGCTGTATCAAGATTTTAAAAATCTTTCCTAATCTTGTATCAAGCATTCAGCGAAAAAACTACCGATCACGCTGTCTCTAGTACTGGTTCCTGTACAATGCACACAGGGTTGACATGGTAACAGAAGA